CATTCTGGATCGAGCGAACTTGGTCATCCAAACGGACGACAAGGCCGCTAACGAGAGACAATCCCAGCCGCATTATGTGGCTAAGGCGGCCTATCAACGGCCGGCACATAACAATGCCGTGATTTATGAGGAAACCGACGACCACCACGCTGCAGCAGCATCCTCGGGTGATGGAGGAATTGTCGCAGCGCTCCCGTCGAAGTGTCCCAAGAGAGTTCGTAAGAACAAGGCGACACAAGAGACGGCAGCGACGGGAGCTGGGCAGCCATGGACGACATATAAGATCACCAAGGAGGTCTATGACCTACGTCAGAAGTACGGATACTGCCTTTGGTGCAACGGAGTCACCCATGTGACCGCACAATGCCCCGAAAAGGGCAAGGCACGTGTACCCCGTCCAGCAAACTCRGGAAACTGAGTTACGCAAGGAGAGGGGCGACGTCTCTCCTCACTCCGCCGGACCCGGTTGCCTTGCTAGCAATCGATGTCACTACCGGGGAGCATGCGTTAGTCGCTGATTCTCGTGCTACGTACGAGGATTATGCCGCCCAGCTGGTACCACCATTAGACCAGCCTAGCCACGTGCATGTAGATTGCGCATGCGCAGCCTGTACACCGTCGGCAAGTGATCCGGTCAGTTCGCCACTACTTTCCGAGGACTCGACGGCGTGGTCAAGACTTGAGGAGCTTGACCCGCTCACGAGAGAGGATTTCGCTTGGATACCTCTACCCTCGACCGGAACATTGCCAAGGCCGCATTGCAACGCCTTGATGGCAAATCTATGCTTCTACTTGCACACTACAGTACCAGCTCCGTTGACGGACGACAGGGTAGCGGTTGCCGATCTCCGCTCCTATCTTGCGAAGATCGACCGCGAGCACGCCACCCAAAGGTACGCTGAAACTGACGCACCTTTGCTCTATATCCGCATTCAAATCGGAAAGGCAGCCTGTAGTGCCTTGATTGATTGCGGAGCGTCTCACAACTTCATGAGTCAAGCCTTTATGGCCCGCGCAGGTCTTGGCCCGCGCGTTCGAAGGAAGACGCAACCTACGCAAGTTGCACTCGCGGACGGCCGCACGCAAAAGGCAATTGACTGATGCGTTGACGGCGTTCCGGTCTACTTTGCGCCACTTGCGTGCGAGCCGGTGTCTGTTGACATCCTCGACACCAAGTTCGACGTGATTCTAGGCATGTCTTGGTTGCGTAGCGCCGATCATCCGGTGAACTTCCATGACCGAACCGTTCACATCCGTGATTGGAACGGAGTGTTAGTCCCATGTACGGTCGCGATCCCTCACACTTCGATTGCTTGTCACGTGGTTTCCGTTGCGCGGATTCGCGGCGTCATTGCTCGGAATGACGTCGAGGAGATGGGCCTTGTATTCTTGCATGCTCTCCCCTCGCCGGACGGACCAGCCGCGTCACCGCCGGACCCACGCATTTCTCACCTCTTGGACGAGTATAGAGACATCTTTGAGGCTCCCACCGGAACGGTTCCGGATCGGCCCATACGTCACGGGATCGCTCTCACGGCTGGCGCCGTTCCTCCGCGTGGATGTATCTACCGCATGAGCGAAGAGGAACTCGAGGTGCTTCGCGCACAACTCGATGATCTTCTCAACAAGGGCTGGATTCGCCCTAGTTGCTCGCCATACGGTGCACCTGTTCTCTTCGTCCGGAAAAATAACAAAGACCTACGGTTATGCATCGACTATCGAAAACTTAACGCACAAACCGTAAAGAACGTCGGCCCTCTCCCTCGGATTGATGATCTCCTTGAGCGGTTAGGCGGCGCGACGTACTTCTCGAAGTTGGATTTGAAGTCAGGTTACCACCAGATTGAAATCGAGCCTCAAGACCGGTACAAGACCGCGTTCAAGACCAGGTACGGACATTTTGAGTGGGTTGTTATGCCATTCGGACTCACCAATGCCCCTGCAACGTTTCAAGCAGCGATGACGACTGAGTTTCGCGACTTGCTCGATCGCAGCGTCCTCATCTACCTTGATGATATCTTGGTTTATAGTAGGACATTGGACGAGCACATCGTACACCTTCGCGTTATTTTGAATCGTTTGCGACTAGCCAAGTACAAAGCGAATCTCGACAGTGCGAATTCGTCAGGCAAGAGCTTGAGTACTTGGGCCATTTTGTCACGCCGAAAGACATTCGTCCCTTAGCGGACAAGATCCAAACCATCGTGGATTGGCCGGAACCCCGTTGCACGACGGATGTACGCTCTTTCATGGGTTTGGCTGGATATTATCAGCGATTCGTCGAGTCATACTTGAAAGTGACCGCTCCTTTGTCAAGACTTCAGTCCCCGAAGGTGCCCTTCGAGTTCGACGACGCAGCCCGTGGCGCGTTCAGTA